GTTTGCTAGTCTCTGTCACTAGTAGAAGCTTGTTTAGGTATAATCTGAGGTTTACTCATTTCATTCAGGAGAATAATCAAGGTCTTGTGTTCAAGATTCTATTCCTGTTTGTATTATTCATGTGGCAGCCTTAATATTGTACTCTGTACTCCTGTCCTCCTTGAAAGGTAACTGCTTTTTTTTACTACTAGTGCATCTGGAATTCCTGTGCTCTCATTGTTTGGGCATGAGTGGGAATCAGAATCATGAATGTGAAGTACGAAGAAAGGCCTTTTGAGACTCTTTAAGAATGTGAAAAGTAGGAAATGGAAAATTTTTGGAGACTTGATCTCCTTTCATTTAATGTATTTTATTTGTACTTAAATTCAAAGTCGAGTATTTCTTATTTTTAGCAAAACAGTGATAGTTACTGACTGCAAGTTTTAAAGCGCTCTTCTGTACTGGTCCTTCTAGGGGCAAAACAGAATTGCTATTCTGTGATGGTAGTGCATAATTCCCATCTCATGTTTTATGTCAGTGAACTTGATTATTGTTTTTCTTTCATCAGACATTTATGACCCTGATTTAAAACTGTTACAGTATCTTGAGACTTCTGGGAAAACCTCTGCTTCTGTTTCCATCAGTGGCAGGATTTCCAGCTAGTTTCTGTTCTTGGCACATATGTACATTTGCTTCAGTTCACCAAGTGGATTTTTGGGTGTCATTTGCTTTAGACCAAGTCTTCTGAAAGCCTGTTTCTGGTCTTCCTCTGTGCTACATGCAGCAGCATTTTATAAGGTCTTCCTCTTTGAGCAGTGTCCTCTCCTTAATTGGTTATATCCTGAGGAAGACTTCTGGTCCTTGTCCCCTCAGATATATAAAGACTGGTCTTAGCTTTAGATTTGTCAGGTTGGTCCATTCATGCCTTCAGCTGAGTGGCAGCAGATGTGGATCCCATGACCCACCTCAGGCCTGTGACTGGTGTGGGTTGTAGCTGTTGGAGCTGGAACACTTTGAGGGGTGAACTAAAATAATGAAACTCTTCTGATGAAAATGCAGAAAGGCTGTTGTTTCAGTGTCTGTTTTTTCAGTGCATTCCCTATTGTACAGCAGGCTTTAAAATAGGACCTTTATGGGATATGGTTGTGTTTACCAGCTTAATCTAAACTTGCAAGTGAGCCGTGTTGAGGCTTTTTAGTCCACAGAGCTAGATGTAAGCTGCCTTTCCCTTGACAAAGGGAAGTCTGGATTTCCAGTTTGCTCTGTCCACAGAAGTGTGCTGCTGCTGGCTTCCACCATGAGCTCAGCACAGCATGTACATGTTCAGTAAGGTAGTCTTGTGTATTGGAAAAAGTGGCCTTGATGCTTTGTTTGGAGTGGAACAGTCCTTATTTAAGGGGAGACAGGAAGTGAATTGATGGATGTACAGCAAGTGAATTGATGGATGTACAGCAATGTACTCTCCTGTTTTGGACAACAATCTGTCACTGGCTAGTGACAGCTGAGACCTCATCTCTGTGGTGTGCTGCAGCATCTTCTTATTAGAAATCAAATTAAGAAGAGTTCTTGAATCATGGCATCTCGTAAAAATTGAAGTGCAAGTTGAGAACACTTGCCTGGCACAATGGCCTCTGAGAACATTGCTGTAAGAAAAAGCAGTATGTCCTTGTTTTTAATGTGCTTGCTGAGGAGACATCTTGTTCCTAATGTATTCCTTTTCTCAATATAAATTTGTCTGCTTTGGAGGTAGGTTTAACCCATTTTCATCTGGACATACTGGATGGTAGTTTTTATTGGAGTTTTTTCCCCCACAGAAACATGTATTTTAAAAGAAGTGGCCACTACTCTTAAGGGCAAGTTGTGTTTTAAGCAGAAAGATTGCACTTGAGCTAGTGAATGTGAATATTTACTGAAATACTGATTATAGCATTTTAAGATTTCAGATTTAAAGACTTGGAAGACTACATTAAGTAGAGCTATTTAGGAAGAAATTATATTAAATTCTTAAGTTTTTTGAGAGAATACAAATAGTTTGTACTACTAGTCTACTATTAAAAAGATAAAAGCTCGAAGCACAGTACTGAGGTGTCTATAAGTAGTAGCAGATAATAACAAACTGAAACATTCACTTGTAGGGGCTGTGGGTCTTTATAATTTTTGGTAGCTTCTTTGTTCAACCTGCTTTCACAGTTTTCATTTGAAAATTGTGAATCAGTTCATCCTCATTTTAGGAAATTAAGTATTAGAGCAGTGAAAATACTTAGATTTGGTGATGCAATGTTTGCACTTCCAGAAACAAGTGTCTTTCCTACTAAGTGCAGTGGAAAATTTCAGTAAAACTGTTTTTAAATTGGTATCTCCAGAGTAGTGCTGTTCAGTGTTGTACAGTGTGTGTCATCATTCAGTATTTAAAACTGCAGGCTTTCAGTCTGTTTCTTGACTTGCCTCGTGTTCAGTGGTTTTGACATCGCGTAACTGAAATGTTCACCTGTTGAATTAGATGTGGAATGAAAATCTTGGCACAGTTGTTAATTCAGTCCATATGAAAGTTGTTTAAAGAGACTAAATAGAGAACTATCAGCAAGTAATGACTGAATGAGCAAACTGACAGGGTATAGGTAGGGAGATTAGTCTAGTGTGTCTCCGCTTTAAATGTGCGTTACAGGTGAAATGACTGGACTTTGATGTCAAGAATAAAGAGGGATATGTATATCACATACTCTAGGCAAGGTTCTTTTAATAGGAATTTTATATCAGTAATATTTTGTGGCATCCTTGTTTTTCACTAATGGCGCTGACTTAAATTACGTGGCACTTCTGAAGTTATATGTTTCTTTCAGATTTTTTGTCTGACTAGTAATTCTGGTGCTTAGCAAGATGGTTAAATATAGTGTACAGATATTGGTGATGAACCACTGATTTTGGTTTAATATGTGTTATTGCTGTGACTAATGTATCCAAATTCAGTGTGTTGGAGTAGTCACTTGAAGGTAATAACAGTAAAATTGGATATGTAAGAGTAGGGTATACTGGTTAGGGTATTGCTTCCATTTACTTGCACTCTGGAAATTGTGTACGTACACTGGAAAAGTGTAGGCCTTGACTGCTATGTCAAACTATTTGAAATGTTTTTAACCAGAGAGGGCATGGGCAATACTGAACCAGCTGTCATAATGCAAGAACACATATTCACTTACCAGAGGAAAATGAGAGTTTTGCAAAAGCTGCTTTGTATCTTGACATATACCAGTTCTGTAGCATACGGTAAGCTTACAGTAAATCAGCAAATATTTTGTGCAGGTTTCTTCTCTTCTGATAGACTCTTTGTGAATTTATATTTTTTATATGTGGCAGCATGTGTCCAGCAGTGTGAATTCCCCCTTGAAAGACAATGGCTGCGTGGGTTTGGTAATTCATTCTTTTACTAAGACTAGTCCTGTTCCCCAGGCAGTCTGTCTCCATTGCTTGGTCTTGGGTCTCCTTAAAATCCTGACAAGTGAGGCATGGAAGTTTATTTCTCAAAGAAGCTCAGGGCTAAATGGGCAAGTAGAACAAGTTTGTTCATTCCAAAAGGGTAGCTGTCACTGTCTTTGTTGCTTCTTTGGATGAATGCAGGCAAACTTTACTCTGTTTTCCTGTAACTTTGATTGTAGGGCTTTAGCTTTTGTGTGGCTCTCATGTGGAAAAAAACAAGACAGTGTGAGTTAAAAGGTTCCATACTGGATAGCTACGAGTTTTTGAGGTCAGTCCTCCTCAACCCGCGCAAATGTATCTTGCACAAAGTCTCTGGGTGGAACTTGAAGGATCACAGCAGTGTTCAGGGTACTGCTTGTTTAATCTTCAGCATGCTGTCTTCTGTTTTGCTTCCATAGCAATCTTAAGAGCCTGCTGGTCTGCGCAGAAATTATTTGAAAACAAGTATCAGAGAATTAGGCAAAAAGACAGAATGACAGATTCAGGTTCCAGTTGCCGGTATTGGCTAACAGTACATGAAGGGGGAGGGAAGGAAAGGAGATAAATCTGACTACTTCTTGAGGATCCTTTTTGCTTTTATGTTTTACATAGGTGAGAAGCCTAGATGAAGTATTTTGTATTGGAGAACCACAGATGTTCTGTCCCAATCATTCTTGTAGTAACACCACTTGTGCAAACTTCAGTAGGAAGTAGTGAACATGCTGTTTTATAGCATGTGTCTCAGGGTCAAAGAATCTGCTTAATCACCTTAAAATATTTTGACTGACATGTCAAGGCAGCAGGTAAAAGAATTCTGTCCAAAAGGATCCAAGAATTTCACTGATAAATGGCATTTGTTTTTAAGGCCTCTGTTGCAGAAATTGACAAGCTGCTGAACAGGCAAAAAACAGGTTAGAGTCCTACTTCTGCCATTCGTTCTTAGGCCTGTGAAAGTTATCTAACAGAGTTTATCTTGATCTCATAAATGATTGTGATTATGAGTCATTTGGTAGCAAGCTCACCATGTACAAAATACACAGCACTTGAAAAACACTTGCAAACCTCTAAGTGCTTCAGACTGTCTTTCTGTGCCTTTGGCCTACATATCACACTGAAGTCTTAATTCCTGATATATTTTAGTGCTTTTTAATGAGAATTCATGGAACATGGGACATTCGTAGAACTTCTCAAATTTGTCGCTTTAATCGTACACTTTCTCCACCAACGCTTGCAGGAATAGGTACCTAGCTTTTCTCATTTATTTGGAAGTATTGGAAGTACTTTTTATAGACAAATTCATGTAGTCAGCTGCTCCTGTGTGGTCTAAGTTGCATTCCTTCCATGCTTTGGAAGCTAGCTCCCAAAAAAAAAAAAAAAAAAAAAAAAACCAAACTAAAAAACAAATAAGCAAACAAACAATAAAAACTCTATTGAACTGACTTTGCAAAGTAACTGTTTTGTCTGCTGTTAGAGATGCTTTTTATGTCTCAGAACAGATAATACTGTCTTATTTTAGCTAGTTTTAAAGTGTTTGTTTTCTAGGATTTTTTTAATTTTTTTTTCCTAAGGTTTCTTATGCACGACCAAGTTCAGCCTCTATCAGAGATGCAAATTTGTATGTTAGTGGACTTCCAAAAACAATGACCCAGAAAGAACTGGAACAGCTCTTTTCACAATATGGACGTATTATTACTTCTCGTATTCTGGTTGACCAAGTCACTGGTAAGTAGGCAGTTTTGCATGGCCTTTCATGGAATCACAGTTTGAGATATTTCATCTTTCAGTACAGTAGTCTTGTCTTTATAATGTATAAAAGGTGTATGTAGGCCAGAAAATGCTTTTTTTCTCCTGGAATTGTTCATAAATATGCATGGACCGAAATAGACTGTGTAGTTTACTGAGCCAGCTTGAGTCATTTCCACCCTGAAGGTGCAGGTCTGAAGCTTGATGACTTGTAATAAATTTGCAGCTGCTCTAATCTTGCTTTCCAAGCTGCTGTACAACAGTAGTTTCCCAGTGCCTTACAAAATGCTATTAAATTTTTTTTTCCTAAAAAGAAAATTGTATACAGAAATGCATAGCTGGTTCTCTGAGGCTTGGATTACAGAAGCCCCAGACTGGCAGTTGCTATTAAGACTGTTTTCAAGCTAACTCATTAAATTTGGGCACACACATAAACTTTGAGTTCCTTGGGAGCAGGTAAGTTATTTGATTACCCATGTCATAAAGTACTAAGATGTAGCATGTTATTTGCATTATTGCAGTATGTGTATCAATCAGGTAATGGTTGTCTGTGACCCTTTGTGCTTAATCTTCAGACTCGGGACAGTAATGCCTGTGGTTTTTTGCTGTCTTAGATGGCTCATCTTGAGAATCTTTGTAGTTTTCTGAATCACCTGCTGTGAGATTTCTGCCAGAAATAAGCAATTGAATGAAAAGCCAAGTACATGACAGGAGCATTGAGTGTACAAAGCAACATACAAAGAGGCAGGGTTGGAGAACTCTCCAACTTCTCCCCCTTCTAGAGCACTAAGGGGTGGGACAGATGAAGTCATTTACTCACATAATTATTCCCTGAATAAGCTGGGTTTGATTTTTTTTTTTTAATAATTGTGCCTTTTCAAAGCTGCATATCCTCTTGGCTGGCAAACAGCTTTCAGCTGCAGAAGGTCATAAGGTTTTTTAATTGTCTTACTTTGAAAAGTTTGTACATGCCAGCAGTTGAGTTTTGGCTGACCTTTAGAGGAACTTGTGTGTACTCCTTCAACTTCCACTACGTTAAAAGAAATCTCAGTGTTGACACGTAATACTTAGAGAGTGTTTTAATAGGTGGAGTTGCTAAGAGTGTAGAGAGGCCTGGAAAAGAAAGCTGAAGGCCAAATACTGCCTTGTACATGTAGCAGATTTGCAGGACAGATTCCTAGTCTTTGTGCAATAAATAGCTGTTCACAGTAGGTTCCTGTATATTCATACATAGAAATAGATGGCATTTAACAAATGAACCAGTAAGTAAATATAATTGAACTTCTAATATGTGTTACAATTATATTCATATTCATAAATCCTGCTCCTTGCAGCATACTTTCTGGCATATAGATTGTTGTTAAGGCTTGAGCTTTCTTGCCTCCTTCTTTTTAGTAATTTGGAAGAAGTAGGCTTAGAATGGTATGAATAATAAGGTTGTGACACAAACTGACAGATAAAAAATGCAAAGTTGAAGCTGTGACATTTGCCTCTTTAAGGCTTTTGTTATGCCTGTTCATTCTCACTTTTGATGGCTTAAATCATTGTTTATGAACAGAATACATTTCTTGTCATTAATGTCTTTCTCAGTTGAGGACAAGTGTCTAACTCACCTGGTTATTCATGAACCAAAATGTAAAGAGGCTCTAAATGGCACTTTAAATATTACAACAAAACATTGATCTAACTAATGTTGACTGTTAGTAGGTTTAATGTTAATTGGTTCAAGTATCCAATGTAGTTCAATGTGTTTATGTCTAAAACGTTTGGAATTTTTGATGTGTGATGTTCCTAAGACCTTCCATAAACACTTTTGGATTCCTTTGCATGTTGCCTTTGACTTTTCTGTATGAAGAAAAGTTTCCTTCAAAAGTAACACCTAGTGATGTATGGTGATTCACCAAAACCAAGTCTTTTACTCAGAGGTAACCACTGACTATTAAAACATGGCCATAATTCCCATTATTGCAATATAGTATGTGCACGTTGTCATCCTCTGAGGATATTTGCTCCAAAAAGAGTTTCAGGAGATACTGCAGGGGAGCAAAAGCCATTTTTTTGCTGCTACAGAGCAGAGAACTAAGCTATATGCAGAATTTTTGTCACTTCAGGTACTGCAGAGTAGCATGAGCTGACCAGAGGTAGCAGTGCAGCTGGTTTGGGTTCATCTCCATCCAACAAAATTGCTTTGTTTCTGAATTCCGCTTTGGCTCACTGCATTGGTTTCCACTGTTTTCCCTCAAACTGACAAGCTCTTTACACAAATGTCTTACATCAGTTAATTTAAAAACTAAAATGAAAATTACAGTAGAAACTTCTTACTTTATGCAAGAGATCAGTTCTGTTAAGCTCAAAGTTATCATGTGTTCACAGCATTCAACCATCAAAGTAGCAATTGGCCACACGAATAAAAGTTACCGTCTAATATTCTGGAGTCTGTGAATTCATTGCTGTATGCTTTTTTCACCTTGTGCAGGGGTGTCACGGGGCGTGGGGTTTATCCGGTTTGACAAGCGAATTGAAGCAGAAGAAGCTATCAAGGGCTTGAATGGCCAGAAACCTCCAGGTGCCACAGAGCCCATCACTGTAAAGTTTGCTAACAATCCAAGCCAAAAAACCAATCAGGCCATTCTTTCCCAGCTGTACCATTCTCCAAACAGAAGGTATCCCGCCCCTCTAGCTCAGCAGGCTCAGCGTTTTAGGTAAGTCAAATAATCTGCACGAGTGTGCTGAAACTTGCATGTTCCCACAGGCGTGTTTGATTGCCTCCACTCTTGTGCATTCCTGCTTGTCTGACTTCTGTGTGGGGAGGAAACACAAGAATGTTAAACTTCAGCTATGCAACTACCATAGTACAGCTAAAACCAAAATGCGTGCCATTCTATTGATAGCATTTCAATGTCTAATAAGCATGCTTAGTTAAACCCAGGTGGCATCTCTCTTGTATTCAGTCACTTAAATTTTTTTCCAAAGATTACTTTTCATTTCCTAGGTTATTCTTGATGAATGTGCAAGTTAATTCAGTTAATATTGATCTAGGAGATAGAGTGTTTTTTTCTTAGCCATGTAGCATGCCACAGCCAGCTTCCTGTTTATCTACCCCTACATTTTTCCTCTGCATTCTAGCTTTCAGGTTTTTTTTCCTGTTTAGTTGTCTATGTTCTCCATGCCATACTTTGTCTTCTCCTGTTACAACCTTTCATAATAAAGACTGCTGACATATTTTTTGCATGTGCATTTTGGGGACTTACGTTCCCTCATGTTGAAAGTATTGCTGTATAGTTCCCTGTGCTATTTAGTGTATTGACAAGAACAGATGGTGAGAACAAGGTGAAACAAACACTGTACTATCTACATCCTTGAGTACCTTGGATTTTTTTCAGTGATCTTGATTATTTCTTCCCTCCCTCTGCCCCTGAACAGTGTGACTGGGTTGTGTTAAATAGTAATACACTCAAAGAGTATCTCTATTTTGCTTTTCAAGAAACAAAACCAGTTGACAGCTTTCTTCAAAGAGAATATACCAAATTTCAAATGCTCTGCATTGTCTAGGCTTGCTTTTACCAAATATTCAAGAATTCATGGCCTGCACTTCTGTCAGATTTTTTTAATATTTTTCTTTCATTCAGCTTTTTGGCATTATCTGCTGCATCTCACAGGTGTGAGGAGTAGGTGTTCTGCTGTAGGAGAGGGGATAACAAATTTTATTTACTTTTTTGTGGCTCTTATTACTATTTCCTAGGTAATAAAAGGACTACCTTACAACAGTGTTCTGAATATTGCATAAAAGTAGACTTGCCATTATTCTATAGACAGAGTCTGGGGGCAGAAATTGCAGGATGGCCTCAAATGCGTTGTATGAAATAAGATCATGGGGTTTGTGTCACAAGCTTATTCCACATACTTTGATGCAGTTGCCCCATCTCTGTTAATAGCTGACAGAGACCTGAAAACAGCTTAAACTTTAATAATGAAAGCAACAGCTTAAACTTTAATAATAAAATCAGTACAATGCTTCCTTTTTTTCTCATTAAGTGAAAGCTTGGGCTGGACTTTCAGATATAATTGTTCCTCAGTTTCTATAAGATGTATAATTTAAAGCATCTTTAAAAATTTTCCAGTAAAAGTCCATGATAATATTTCCAGAGTGTTTTCAAGTCTTCAGGGTAATTGCTGAAAAATCATACAAGTGATACCATTACTGTATTAAGTCCTCATCTGACAGCCTTTGTAACAATAACCTATAAGTGGTGGTGTTCCTAGAATTCTTCACCTTGCTCTCCACTGCTCATGTCAATGACAGTAGACCTCAGTCATCCACACCGTCTACTGATAGTAGTCAAGTATTTAATTTCCTTTTTCTGGTCTTTTAGGGGTTCAGTAGTTTCTTGTCAGTGTATTCTGCAAACCCAGCTCACTGCAGAATCAGTGCTTTCTGGAAAACTAAATTAAGTGTATTTTTTTTACCTAAGCTCATATTTTATTGAGTCTTGATCTATAATAAGACTTCTTGATGTGTCTGGGATTTGTCAGAAAGAAAGAAGAGCTTCTTCAGGGTGAGCATTTTTTGAAAGAAGCAGTTTAAGGGACTCCAGGAATAAGAGCAATAGGAGTAGTATGCACTGCATATTTGAGATATTGGCTAGATTATTTCAAGGGGTTTGGAGTTGTGGTGGCATTCTACAATTGGGGGAAGGTGAGGCAAGAACCACATGGAGAAATCTTGAAAATAGTATATATGTGTGTATCTTATGAAACACTTCACCCTGAAATATTACAGCATCATAGGATATCCTGGGTTGGAAGGTACCCACAAGGATCATTAAGTCCAGCTCCTGCCCCTGCACAGGGCCAAGAGTCACACCATTGCCTGAGGGCACTGTCCAAACAATTCCTGAACCCTGGCAGGCTTGGTGACATGGCCACTTTCCTAGGAATCCTATTCCAGTGTCCAGCCACCCTCTGAGTGAAGAATCTGTTCATAATATCCAAACTAAACTTTCCCTGACACAACTTCAGAGCATTCCCTCAGATCCTGTCACTGGTCGCCAGAGAGAGGAGATCAGTGCCTGCCCCTCCTCTTCCCCTCACAGGGAAGTGTAGAGTGTGACAATGCCAGCCACCTCTCAGGCTCCCCAGGCTGAAAACAAACCAGGTGACCTCAGCTGCTCCTTGTACAGTTTCCCCTTCAGACTCTTCAACATTTTCTTGGCCCTCCTTTGAACACTCTAATGGCTTTATTGGGCAGGAGCACTCTGTGCTGGGTTGGGAACTGGCTGGATGGCTGGGCCCAGAGTGGTGGTGAACGGTGCTGCATCCATCTGGCAGCCAGGCACCAGAGGTGTCCCTCAGGGGTCTGTTCTGGGGCCAGTTCTCTTCAATATTTTTATTGGTGACATGGATGAGGGGATTGAGTCTTTCACTAGTACATTTGCAGACAACACTAAGCTGGGAGTGTGTTGGAAGGTAGGAGGGCTCTGCAGAGAGATCTGGAATGGTTGCATATATTCCCAAGATCATTTAAAAAATCATTGAAAGAGACCTCACAAAGACATCAGCCAGTTCTTTGAGTGTTCTTGGATGAATCCCATCCGGTCCCATAAATTTGTAGGGACTCAGTTGGAGCAGGAGATCCCACACAAGTTCAGGGTTGTTCACTGTTCTCACTGCCCAGGAGACTGGGACCATCTTAGCCCATCATCAACATTAAAGATGAAGGCAAAGAATTAAGCTTCTCTGCCTTGTTTGTGTCCCTGTTTTGGGGTGATGACCATTCTCATTCTGTGACAAGCTGGTGTTATTTTTGGACTGCTCTTTGAGATTATTTTAAAACTTGTTGTCCCCCACATTGTTGGCAAGCTTCAACTCCTGTTGAGCTTTGGCCACACAAATTTTCTCCCTCCAGTGGCAAGCAATATCTCTATATTCTTTTCATATTCACATGACTTTGCCTCCACTGTCTTTACACTTAATTTTTTTGCCGTCTCAGCCAAACCAGCCTTCTGTCTCCCAACATTCTGGAATTGCCAGAAGGAGCAGAAAAATGAAAAATCTTTTTTTGGAGTTAATGTTACATTAGTTGCTAGTGATCCAAAATACTGCCTCTGTCTTGATAGTCATGGTAGCAAACATGTCAGAAGCCTTAATAAAAGTCATCTTCTCAGCCAGTTTGGTAGTGTGGAAAACTTGACTGATGTGGTCACTGACTGTAACTTTATGGTAACAGTATGTGATTTAGACTAAATTTGTGGCTGTGGTGCACTTCATAAAATGAACTTCTTATGATTGTGATTACTACACAAGAATTGTAGCAGAGTGGGGTTTAGATGGTGGATGCTGCTACCTATTTCCCGATAAGCATCTCCACAAAGAATATCTGTTTTGTCTTCACTCTCAGGTGTAATAAGGTGCCATGGCTCTTTCAGTGGTGACACTTTAACATTGTATGAGGTTCTGTACAGTGTAATGGATATGACAGTAATATGCTAAGTTTCCTTAATCTTAAATGGTGGAAAAGTCTGAAGACTGAACATGTTGCTAAATGTTTTGCAGGTTGGACAATCTGCTCAACATAGCTTATGGAGTAAAGAGGTAATAAAGGATTAGTTGGTTCATAACAACCAAATTATTTTGAAGTATTTTGCAAACTCTTACTTTTCAGTAAGACTTACGTTGGATTTTTGCATGTTGAGACTTCAGCTGAGGTTGTTCATTTTGATGCATTTTGCATGAAATAGACAAGCCTTTTGTAGCAGTTCCATGGAATTCCTGTTTCAAATGACTTGCTAATCCTCACTGGTTTTATAGCATGCTTTCCTTTTGATTTTCTGTTACATCATTTCAGACATACCTAGCACTGTTCTCCCTACTTGTGTATAATTTTTTTTACTTAGTATTTGCGCAGTTAGGGGGCAAAAAATATTTTTTATCTTATCTTTCTAGTCTGAGCAACATGTTCATTCTATGAAAAGCTCTGTATCATTCTCTTCCTTTATTTTGACATTTCTTTGCTGGGGTTATGCGTGAGCAGCTGTGTGATGATTCTGTTTTGCTTTCCCTCATTCTTTAGTAGGTTTCCTCCAATGACCATTGATGGAATGACCAGTTTGGCCGGTATTAATATCCCTGGACATGCAGGAACTGGGTGGTGCATTTTTGTGTACAACTTGGCCCCTGATGCTGATGAGAGTATCCTCTGGCAAATGTTTGGACCCTTCGGAGCAGTGACCAATGTGAAGGTCATCCGTGACTTTAACACCAACAAGTGCAAAGGTTTTGGATTTGTGACTATGACAAACTACGATGAGGCAGCTATGGCAATAGCCAGCCTAAACGGATACCGCCTTGGTGACAGAGTATTGCAGGTCTCCTTCAAAACAAACAAAACGCACAAAGCCTAACAAGTTATTCTCAGTGCATTAATACATGAAAACTATACAACAAAGGCAATTTACAAAAGCTTTATGCATTAGTAAATGCCTTTGTTGTATGCCAGTGTGGAAATGGGGATAAAATGACTACTTAGCATCCTAAGAATATGTGAGATTTTTTTATTGCTAATATTTGAATTAGAACTTCTTAACTATCTTTTGTGTTTGAGTATTGACAAGAGGTACAGGGTTTTTACCTGTCACAATGCGTATTCTATTGCCTTCTTTGAAGAAGGTGGACCTTTTAAAATGTTTCAGCTAAGGGAAGAAGTTTTTTTTCTTTATACATGACTGCCTTTAATCTGTGAGTAAATGTCAAGGCTTTGTGTAATACTATAATTTTTTTGTCATTTCTTGATTTGCTTTGTGTTTAATTTACATTGTAATGCATTATTGTTTTGTTGTTCAAGAAAAGTATCTGAAGTTTACATTTTATTTATAAAGTTATAAGCAGTATTTATTTCATCATCTTCATTTGGGTTGGGGAATGGGAACACATTATAAAAGCTTATTGTAAGAATACTGGAGAACTTTTCGTAAAGCAGTACCTTGCCAAAGAGATAAGAGCCTCTTTGATGTGGGTTTAAAAAAGCATCTATTTTTATAAAAAAAATAAAAATTTGGAGAAACTTTTTACTGGTCCTGGAACAAATATTTTGACTTGAATACTTTGAGAAATCTCTTCATATGACACCTAGTGAGCTTTTAAAACTTACCAGGAAATTTGCAATTGTTGGGAAAAAATTTAGAAAGATTTATGATGTAGTACTTTTGAGACCTTTGTATTAAGAAGTAAAGTTAATGGGACGCACTGTTGGTTTCATTTTTTGTAATCATCAGTGGAGTCATTGATCATCCTGGTTATTAAGTGATAGGCAGCTCACTTTAATTTGTGATTTTGAAGCAAATGAAAATTTAAAAAAGGAATATAAGAGCAAGCAGAAAACTTAAAACACTGAGATATGGGGGAAAAAAATCTGTTCTTCCTAAAGAATTCCCTTCAGAATAGAGCTCATGGTGTTTAGTGATGTACTTGCTATTGTTTGAAGAATTGTTTTGTCTTAAGAAAAGACATCAAGCATGATTTGTGCAGTAGCAAATCAGCAGAAGTGGCCTGAGTTGGATACATTAGGAGGCATTTTGAAAGTTATGTTCAAGGCTAACACCTGAGCTTTGTGTAATGTAAATAAGAACTTAAGTTATGAACCTTTCAGCTAATTTTGATTATAGTTTTTTTTAAAGTTACATGCCAAGTGATGTTCAATTTTAAATGTTTTTGTATAAGTTTTTTTCTTTGTAAATGGCATTAACATTGTTACTTGTGGTCTGCTTCTTTTCTTTTCTTTTTTTTCTTTTTTTTCTTTTTTTCTTTTTTTTCTTTTTTTCTTTTCTTTTTTTTCTTTTTTTTTCTTTTTCTTTTTTTTTTGTCCTGAGGACTTGAATTTACAGGGCATCAGATCTGTTGCTATTTTTGTCTGTAGATAGTCTAGCTTCAGCTGTTTATGGTGATGCAACATTTTTGTTTATAAATATGTTTGTGGTAAAAAGAAACAAGTATAAACATATGTTTTGAGCAAATTTCCTTACATTTTTCATATGAAAACCGTAAATACCTGTATGCTATTGAAGTTTAACTTTGTATGATGCTTAAATCACTATTTGGGGAAATAGAAAAAGTCTTTACCATGTATTGAAGAAATTTAAGGAAAACAAATACAGAATATTTTCTGATTAGCATCTAGCTTATAATTAAATTTTTAAAAAAAAGCTGAGGGTTTGATGCCTTCACCAGGATGCACTGACAACTATGTAGTTACGTCCTGCTTTTTGTATAAACTGAGATGCTCATATCCTTCCCCTTAGAAAAAGCAATGTTCTATGCATAACATAGTTGTACACTATCTTTGCAGTTGTTTTTGGTTCTTATTCTTTTCAATTGTAGTTATAAAAATTTCAGTATAGTACAGTACATATACTGTGAAGCGCGTGCTAAAGTGAATAAGCAAGTTTTCATGCTGACCCACTCGATGCTATTAAAAAATCAATTGGCTTCCAGAGTACTTCTTCATTCTTAGATGCATTTAGATTGTTAAAGCTAATCCTCTGCATTGAAAGTTGTATATAGTATAGAAATCACAAACTTTCCGATGTGGAAGAAATAGTAGCTATATGCTTCTTTCCTATACTACTGTAGCAACTAACGGCATTGATGAGAAGGCATGTAAATTGGGCTTCACTTTACAGTGTTTATCAGAGCACTTAGTAAAATATAAGGCTGGTATTTATTTGAAGTTGTATAGTATGACTTAATTCACATTTGTTGGAATTGAGAATATATTCTGTTGGGTATTTAAGAGGTTGTACATGTTTTCTTTTGTGTTTGGATTCTTTGTACTTTTTCATGTTCAGTACATCAATAAACAAAGTTGAAGGGAAAACAGTCTCATAAGCTGGTCTTTTACCATATTTGCCACTGCTTTAATGAGTAAGCAATCTCAGTGAAAGGTTTCTGCAAAGCTCTTGAGCTACTTGTAATTTAGGGTAGGATCCTGTTTACCAACAAGGAGGTAAGACAGCGGAGCTGTATACCAGTTCTGTTACCTTAGAATTAAGTGTAGAATCTTTTCACTTTAGTTTCGCATTAAACACTCAGTACTTAGGCTGAAATAATGAATGTGTCATTAGATGCATTCAGTAAAAATTAATTTGCTGCTATGCAGTGTATAACTAAGTGAATGCCCTAGTGTGTTTTCCAAGGAATGAGACAGAAAGATTAAGAAGTATCAGGGACTCCAAGATGGAGGTGCACCAGTTGAACTGTGCTCTGGCCTTCCTGAGACAGGAACAGAGACCAGAAAGAAATCCATATCAAGAGCATCAACCCTGCCAGCTGAATGCAGTAGATCGGAAGGAAGGAGTGAAAGGAGGCAAGTCCTTGCTTGGCACAACAGACAAAAGCCCTTCTTGTCCACCTCACCCTGCTAGGTGCCTCTGTGCAGTAGGTGTGAGGCTCTGGATGTGGTAGGAAAATCGGTGGATGATTAGGATGAAGGTACTTCTCCAACAGAAAAGTCTTCCTCCCTGGGATGTGAGTTATGGATGCCACCAGGAAACTTCCTAGGTTCCCCATCGGACTCTACTACTTGCTGGTCCCCCACGTGTAGGGTGACAAAGCCACAATGCATAGTCCAGAGGTTGTCAAAAGAGACTTTTCAGGGTCCTGGGGTGGTTGGAGAGGTAATCTGGGGCTATTTTTTCCTCTACTTTTGTAGAGGTTATTTTTTCCTCTACTTTTGTTAGGTGCAGGTAGTGACATTGAAAAAAACCAGTCTTAATACCTGCTTCTGGGGCTGGTGGCACACTGCCACAATTTTGGTTTCTTTTGTGTAATGGGTTGGCCTCCATGGTCCTGGACATGATGAATTCAGGTGAGATTCACCTTTCTAAAAGGGGAAGGAGGGCCTTTGTCAAGAGTTCATGGAGCTTATTGATAGGGCATTAAACTTGGTATCGCCTTGGGGGAAGGGGATATAATCAGATATAATGGTGAGAAGGTGTGGGGTGACGTGCTCTTCCAGTGAGAAAGAGGTGCCTAGAACCTGGAGAAGGTAAGCAGGTCAGCAGGAGAGCATTTGAATTACAACATGAAGGAATTCCATATACTCCAGCCAGAAAGCTTTATAGGGGCCCAGCTCAAATGCTAACGCACACACAGCCAAGGAGATAAAGAGGAGGAATTAGAGATATGTGCAGGCCTGCAGGACTACAGTCACTGGCATCATGGAAATGTAGGTTGACTCCTGTGACTCAAATGGAAAGGTTTGGGCTCCTCAGGCAGGGGAGATGAGGTGGTGTTGCCCTGATGTCCATGACCGGCTGGACATGATGGAGCCTCACCTGGGTTTGGATGAGGAGCTGACTGAGAGCTAATGGGTCAGGATTAAAGGCACAAAAGGGACAGGTGTCTTTATAGAGGGGGTCTGCTACAGACTGTCTGACCAGGAAGACTAAGCAGCTGAGGCCCTTTACAGAAAGATGGAGTGGCCTTGCCTTCACAAATCCTGATTCTCATGGGGGACTTTAAACACACAAGTGTCTGTTGAAAGGACAATGCAGAGAGGCATAAACTTATCTTTTGCGTTAGGATCTTCCTGGAATTCTTTGGTGATAACTTCCTCTACAGGTTGGATAGATGGACCAAGGAGGAGAGGTGTTATGGTGGATTTTATTCTGACATGGAGGGGCTGGTAGGGAATGTGAAGCTCAGGGACATTCTGGGCCACAGTGTCTGTGAAATGGTGGAGTTTGAGATCCTTGGGGCAGCAAGGAGGTTACACTGCAAGCTCACTACCCTGGAGTTCAGGAGAGCAGACTTCAGCCTCTTCTTGGTAGAGTACCAGCAGATAGAGCCCAGGAGGGAAGGGGGTCTCAAGAGAGCTGGATGATGTTCAAGGCTTGTCTCCTTGCAGGGGAAGTCACACAAGCATACATGTGGTGTGCACATATGAACAAGGTGCTCCTGGAAAAACTTAAAACACAGCTTACAAAGGGTGAAAGCAAGGAAAGGTAGCCTGGGAGGAATAGAGAGTTGTGTTTAAATCAGTTGCTACTGCTGTTCCATCTCTGTTGGCTCAGCCAAATACAATTTCCTCATCTCTAGAAATTGACCTTGCTCACCTTGATTCCCTGCTCTGCCTCAGGATGTCTCTGCACTAGGGCTGTTTTTCCTGGCAAGTGCCAGTTCACCATCCTCAGGGTCCAGCCCTGGTCTTTCTATGATTTTATGAAGGACAGGAAGAGGGGAGGATTTACTCCTTATCATTATGTCCATTTGTTGTTTAATTACTACATTAATTTCCAGGCTCCATTAATTGGATGTAGTTTGCTTGGGTTTTCTTTCCCTTCCCAGTGCTTCAAGTAAATCTTTAAAAGCTAGTCAACTCAACTTTCTTCTGCTCTTTTGAGGTACCTACACATCTTAATTCATTTGCATTAGTCAGTTGAACGAGAGTAAATTGCCGTCAGTGAGAGCACAATTCCAAAAGTGGCTTGTGCAGTATAGCTTTTAAGTGTTTTCTTTCACCTTTTTCATCTCTACTGTGAGATTTTTGATGTAAAACTGTGTAGCATGTGTTGTTGAGCATCACAGTACAGTGTTGTGGAATTGAGATTAATGGGTGGTAGGGTCTGTGAACAACACACATAGATAATACTACTTCAAGATGTCAGTCATAGTTGATAAACTGACTAATTGGGGAAATAGTTGGGTGCTGGTAGATTTTTATATAGTTATGGTCTTGGATGGCTAGAGTAATGAGAGGACTCAAGACACTCCACTTGGCAGCAAATGAGGAGCTATACATGGAATTTGTACTCCAGCAGGGACATATGTGTGTGTTCAGCTTTCACAGAAGGATAGCTTTTAGTTCTCAACTTAGAGCACTTTGAGTACTGTGTAACTAACCATAGTTGAAGTATTTTGCTATATGAAAATGAGGACAAAATATGTTTATGTAAATGTCTTCAGTTTAAAATCAAAACTTCTTTAGCTGCAGAGAAGACAGCAGTCGAGAAGCAATGCTAAAAATCAGCAGTTATAAGTAC